TTGTTGTAGTGATCGAGCTGCTGCCTACCGAGCAGGCGAGGAAAGAAGGTGCGGAGGATCCCAAGGAGAAGTTTGAGCAAGTACATGGAAGTGAGAAGAAGGAAGAGAAGAACGAGGATTTGGATTAGGACATGGTGGGTTGTTGGCTGAAGGACGGAGTTAGGGCTAGTGGTTCGGGAAACGGAATGGAATGGTGCGCGGCATCGCTACGGGTAATTCCCAGGGTAAGGTGTAATGAAGTCGGCATTGACGTGGCGATAGATCAGCAAGTGTAGTAGTAGACTTAGTCATTTGATATTTGCCTTGAATGTCGATTGTCTTTGGTCCCCGTGGGGTACAGACCGTTGGCATTCCGCGGCAGAGGAAGCTCGGACCTCCGAACTTCGGCGTAAGCTGCGGCAACACCAAAAATTCCAGGGCCGAGCAACCCGCACCGCATCACAGCTTCAACATGGCCGCACGCACTTTGAGGATAGGTAAGGCAGTCAATTGCACGATGACGGCGCAGAACGTATCTGAGGTCGTCGACTAATGCCCCTTAGGCCTCATCCCAGGCGACGGCATCGGCCGCGAAGTAATCCCCGCGGGCCGCCGCATCCTCGAAGCCCTGCCCTCTTCGTTCGGCCTCAAGTTCTCCTTCTCGCACCACGAGGCTGGTTGGGAAACGTTCCAGAAGACGGGCGCCGCCCTGCCCGACAAGACGGTTGAGGCGCTCAAGTCCGACTGCGATGGCGCCCTTTTCGGAGCCGTCAGCTCGCCCACTGTGCAAACCAAAGGCTACTCCAGCCCGATCGTCGCACTGAGAAAGCGCATGGGCCTGTACGCCAACGTCCGTCCTGTGAAGAGCGTGAGGGGAGCAGCGAGGAGTGTAGACCTGGTGATTGTGAGGGAGAACACCGAGGATCTTTACGTCAAAGAAGAAAAGACGTACGCGGCGCCCGACGGCTCCAAGATTGCAGAGGCAATCAAGCGCATCTCGGAAACAGCATCCTTCAACATTAGTGCCATGGCCGGCGACATCGCGCTCCGCCGCCAGCGCGTCCGCGATGCGGGTGCAAGCTCCATCCACAACTCGCCGCTCGTAACCATCACACACAAGTCCAACGTGCTTTCGCAGACCGACGGCCTCTTCCGCGAGACAGCCCGCCGCGCACTCCAAGACGCCAAGTACGGTCTCGTCGGCGTAGAAGAGCAGATCGTAGACTCCATGGTGTACAAGCTCTTCCGCCAGCCTCAGGACTACGACGTCATCGTCGCGCCCAACCTATACGGTGACATTCTCTCCGACGGCGCGGCGGCCCTCGTTGGCTCCCTTGGCCTGGTTCCTTCTGCGAACGTTGGCAAGGACTTCGTCATCGGAGAGCCATGCCACGGTTCCGCACCAGATATCGAGGGCCAGGGCATCGCGAACCCTATTGCGACGATCCGGTCTACGGCGTTGATGCTGGAGTTCATTGGTGAGGAAGAGGCGGCGGCGGCTGTGTACAAGGCAGTGGACGCCAACCTCGAGGAGGCAAAGCTACTGAGCCCGGATATGGGTGGCAAAGCCAAGACGGAGGAGATCATCGAGGATATCTGCAAGAGGTTGTAGACATGTGATTGTCGAAAGTTGATCAAGGCTGCTCGCGGGTGCTGTTCGGGTACCCTGAGACTGGTCCAGAATGACGATCCACAAATTTCATGCGCGTAAATACCGACCAGATGAGATATATGATGTGCAATTAGACGAATACTCCATATACTCCAACCAGTTCCACCAAATTCGTCACTCCAATCCAAAACCTTGCTCCGCTGTTGATCATATCCTAGTAAGAGCCTCGACATCAACTCGTTGATAGAAAGAAACATGCCCAAAGGTTTCCCAATACTGCGCCAACCGGTCATGCGAGATGAGGATGAGTTGACTCGTCATGTAATTGTCTAGATGAAATGAGCAAATCGCGTTCCACAATAATCACAATGGATACACGGAAACGTACCATTCCTGAAGCCTGTAGCAGCGATATGCCCAACACTTCTCACAATCCTTGCGCCCTTGAAGATCTCCTCTTTGGCGACGCGGATCAAGCCATTAGGTCCAATATCAGGTGCTATAAAGGTAAATTCTCCGCGTGGAATATTTGGATCGCCTGTCAGCTTGACAGCCTCGATGCGACCACGATATACGTCCGGGTCTTCTTCTTGTCCAGTGCTAGCGGTGTGTTCCGGTCCACTACTCTGACTGATATGAAACGCTTCCTGCAACGTAGCAACGCTGTCTTCCAAGTCATCTGCAGTCTCCATTGCCGCGACACTGCCCTCGCCATCCTCGGACGCAACATCTGTAGGCGCGGTGGTCCAACTCCCTTCACTAGACACACTACCCTCTCGTTCCCTCGCCCTCATTGCCCACAAGGCCTGTTCAGGCAGCGGCTTTGCATCCGCCTCATCCGGCTGCATGATGACGAGAAACTCGCAGCCATGGCCCGCGTAATCGCCGCACCAGATGCCCTGCCACGGTTTCTGCTTGGTCGGTGTGTAGCATTCTTCAGGTAGCGTGGCCCACGTCGTCACGTCCTCGCCGATGCGCATACCCAGGCCGAGTGCGCGTGTAGAGAACTCCATCCACCGGCGGATGCGAAATGTGGATGTGGACAGCTGGGTCAAAGTAGCGGGTTTCTGGCCTGGTTGGCGGAAGCCGGATGGGGAAGTGTCGTTGCGTGTGCGGTCGTGACTGGGCAAAGTGAGAGGTGGCCATACGGGCGTTGCATCGCCTGTGATGGCTTGGGGCCAGGGGCGCGTGAGCATGAGTTGCGAGAACAGACTCGCGGCTTGCTGTTGCCGGTCGCGGTAGAGGCTCATGCGAATTTCCTTCTGGAGACGATAGCCGATGGGTCCAATGGCTTCTTCGTAGGCATCTTTGTTTAGTCGGACAACAGGCGCGTTGAGGTCAAGGCGTATCTTTGGGTTAAAGGTGTGGATTATGGCTTCCGGGTGCTGCTCCCACGATAGTGCAGACGGAACGCCGCGTTCGGCTACAAGGGCGTAAGCTTCGATTGCGTCGAGGCGGTGGTCGTAGCGTGCGATGAGGAGCTTGCCCGTGTGCGCGGTGTCGGCGAACCAGATCTTTCGCCGGGCGATGAACCAATATGGGTGGTGTCGCTGGAAGAGGTCGCGCCATGTCAAGTGTGCGGGTTTGGTGATGGCGGGGACTTCTGCTTGTACAAACGTTTGCCAAAGTATATCCTGGAGAGTGTGCTGGCGCAAGGATTTGCTGACCATGCCCACTGTAAGAAGATCGGAAAGATGGAGGTAGCGGAGTACATCATGGAGTAACTCCGAAGGCAGGTTCAGCAACGGCGGGATGGTTGTCTGTGATGCTCCGCTTGGGGTTTCGGAAGATCGTGTCTCCATTTGGTTGCGCCTTTATGTGACGAGCTTGTTATGAATGTTTACAGTCAGTCCCTGTTTAGGGAATGGATCGTCTTTCCAAGTATGCAATCTGGGTGGCAAAAAGCTTATGTCGTGTTCTTTCTGGCACAGGCGCCTATTGAATGCAAGCCGCTGCGACAAGGGAAGGAATCCGAATCTATCACAGCTGAGTTTTCAGCTCTTTTGTCGCGTCTCCAAGGTGTCTGCTGTTCAGGCGCCTCTTTTCTCGGCAACGTCCCGTGGTGACACCTTCCCACCTTCGCCTAGTCGCAACAAGTCCGGGGTAGATTGGCGTAATCAAGCAACGAATACGAGAGCCATGTACGATGGAGTACTAAGTCGCGTATCTTGGGTCCGTCAAGTACCTGCTGTTTTAGGTCGTGGGTGGTCTTGCGTGATGATGGCGATGTTGCGATATCGGATGATGTGTCGCAAGGGTGAGGAGGCGACTTTGAAGGTAGGTGCACGAGGATCGTCTATGGCGGTAGAATGAGGATGGCGTTGCAGGAAGCGACTGAAAATAGCGGAGATGATTATTGAAGACTTGGGTACGATGGTTACATGGAGTTGTTGCGCTACGTGATGCATAGCAAACACGATGTCGTGGTACGTCACCATCAGTCCGTGCGCCGCGGCGGGTGGCTTTTGTGGGGTGTGTGGAACCTGACTTCTTCGATCCTCACCCGTACACCTTCATGAATTCTGCGCATGTCAATAACATTGCAGGCTGCAAGATCAAGTTGCCTGGAGCATCATCACGATAATCGGGAACAACCGTGAACGTGACTGTACGAAAGAGTCGTAACGATGGTATTCTTTCTGCGCGGCATCGGTGCATCTACTCTTACCACGCACCACTCTATGCTTGCCCCTACTCGCGTTCATCCCTGATTACTATAAGCCTGGTCTATAGACCCAAGGCTGTATCTTGTCCATAACAAAGTACTACGACCCTCTGTGTACGATCTCAGCCTTGGCCACTGCTACTTCGGACTAATGGCGAGCACATGTCCAGGATCATCCATGTACCAGTCAACCGGCACATTCAGATCCTCCAGATCGCTTCGCTGGAGTTGTTCCAGGGCTTCACAAAATATTCACCGGGGGTTTATGTTCACATTCGTTGCTGTTGCAAAGTCGAAGCAAGCGTTGGCGTTCATATAGAGTGCTTCGTTACGAGCAGCGGTTTTGTATGGTGATTGCTGATATAGATGCTCGTCAGATCGTGCAAGCGATTCATCGACTTCATCAAGGAAGATGTGCTGGGGTAATAGCAAAGGTTATTGTAATCTTCTACATGGGCAGCATCTTCTGCTTCTCAATCTAGCCCTGGTTCAAGTTTATCAATACAATCGTTCGTTAGTCATGAAGTCTCCTTAGGTAACCTTTAACATGGGACAAACGATAGGCTTGTTAGCCCTACCCAGCTGCTAGAATATCAAAGGTGTAATTGTAGGCAATAGTACCAGCTCTGCGTTAAAAGAACAGTAAGGGATCGCCTATCTATAACTACCTAATGAATACATAGAAGGAGCAATGTTCCTTATCCCTCCTATAGAGTCAATGTCTTTCCTTTTACCTAGATTCATTCATGCGGTACCTGGTGCAAACGCTGCTGCTATACCAACGAGCTTAGCCCCAAGTACTTCCTGTTGTTCTCCTGGGCCCAAGGCACCCTTCACAGGATACCTTGCCTCGAAGCGGATACTTCTTCCTTCGACGATCAACGCAACTTCGTAATCGACTTCCCAGAAGCATCTCTTAGATCCTTTGTGTATGCTAGCCTCAGATGGGTACTGCGGCACAATACGACCTTCATCTTTCAATCTTGTCAAATCGGTCTGGAGAAAGCCGACCATGACAGCTCCTGCCCCGATGTTAGCTTGGTATGCGCATTGCGAGTCGACGTCACCTTTGTTCTTAATGTTCGTTTTTCTGTAATGATCTGGTCTCGGTTCGTCACACATCCAAAGCTGTTCAGCGCTCAACAACTTCTTTCTTGTCAAGGGAAAGGTATGCTTGACGTGGAAAGTGAAGGCTTGCATGTTCTCCACCCTTTCACCCTGCCTCAAAGTCAATGAAGTGTAGAATCAAATCTGCAATATATGTACTGACTGCTTGTAACACCCACCGGATAGTCTCGTCAACGTATCGTTCGCCGTCAACGCGGTTGATTCGGCATGTTGTTCCCCTGTGCTCTGGTATGTTCTCAGGATCGTACGATTCACTGAAGAGAAACCCGTAGCTGCATTGTGTAATGCGACTTGGTCCAAATCTTTTGTTGAGTGCTCGGAGGACCGCGCCTCTAGCTACTGCGGTTGATCTAATGGCTCGTTAGTCTATGTTACCTAACTCGCATATCTGGGAGTGAGATTGACTGACGGGCTTCGTGGGACGATGAGATCAATTTTCGCTCCCTTACAATCTGCACGTTTCGCAAGGTAGTTTCTCAGGTGACTTTGGAGTGAAGGCGATTGACCAAACCCGCCAGTTAAAATGACCTTCTCGACTTGTCGATTCTTGTTCTCTGCAAGCTCCAGTTGGTTCTCCAGAACTTCTTTCGCGCAGTCTAGCGATGGCTGGAAGAACTTCTTCATTGTTTTCCTGGAAGAGCAAAGTCAGCTTTTGCAATCATGCGACGAAAGTGAGGAGAGAAATCACCTCTTCAGTTCTAGGTTGTTTTGGTAGAAGCCTTTTTTCTGATTCTCTCTGAGATTCTCGATATGTACTATGTATGTTTCTTCTTTTCGCTTTGTGATATCGATGATCCGCTTTTGATAATTCTCGAAGATAGTCGTTCTGATTCCCACAATGCTTCTTAATGTCTTCGGATTGTGTACGTCATCGATCAGGTATTTCTCGTTCGCGAGCTTCTGGAGTAGTTTTTGCTCAAATCGTTCATTGATGAAGCTTGCCCCAAGTAACTGACCTTCGCAAAGTTAGTCTTGTCGCTTTCGTTGGCCGATTGACTCACTATCGGGGGCAATGACCTCCTCAGCCAACCGCACAGGATCGCTGTTCACGCATCTGTACGTCACAGCATCCACTGTGCCTCCTCCCGCATCGAGGATCACAGCTGTCTCATTGCTCTGTGGGATGTTATCAGCGAAGAGGTCTTTGATGATCAGAGAAGCTTACATAGAGTTTACATCCCGCCTCTGCAAGGATACACTCAGCAGCAGCCTCTGGCTCCGAGATCATGAACAAGTTACAAACGTCGTCCTCGGCATTTTTGCTGAGACCGACTTCCTTTACAGCCTCCTCTAGTGCCGTCTGCATAACTCGACATGCAGTGACAGGCCATTTAGCTGGCACACACAACACAAACTCAATAAGCATGTTCTGTTGGAGCTCATGCGAAGAAAGTAGTTGTTCCTTTGTGTGGTTTAGCAGGTGCGTCAGATAATGCCTGTAAATATCTGTGTCCTTATCGATGATACCCCGTTTTCTCAGTGCTGTCAGAGTGGACCGGAGTTCGTCCCGAATGTGATCAGTCGCGCTTTTCGAAACAAGGTTGAGTTTGATTCTGGTGAGTGGCCGAGCCTCATCAAGAGGGGCATTCATGACGTTGAGCTTTTGCTGGACCTCGTAACCCCAGTATTGCTTTGCTTTGCTCGGTGCTGTGGATCTAGTCTGTGTTTTGGCAAGGTCCTCGACTCCATTGCTATCCTCGAATTGCAATCGTGACTCCTCATCCTCGGATTCATCATCGTCGCTGCTTGACACTTCGTCATCGCTCACGCAGCTTTGATGGTCATCGTCGGATGTGTTGGCAAATCGCTGTTCACCCCTTCCTGTGCGTCCATGATCGTACCACAACTCAGTTGGCACATCTTCTCGAAAATCTAGTTTACCAGGTGGGGGTTCGTAGCCTGGGTAGTTGCCAATGCATCTCACATGGCTGATGTCCACGTTTTCTGGTGAGACGCCTCTCGGTATAACGGTGTATGCAACAGAGCTGAATGTTGTACCGAAGTCGATAGCGATAATCATACGGTCCTCGTAGAGGTTACTTAGATGGCCATGATCCATCGGGGGTACGTTCGTAGTGATAAGGTCGTCCTCCTCTATCGTCATCTCGACGTCCGAATCCTGATCCATGTTTTCGAAGAAGAATTCCGAACCAAGGTCAATGTGGCCATACTTGACTGCTGAGCTTCGTGTTGAAGGTGTCATGTTTTCATGCGTGTGTGATCAAAGAAAATGATCGATCAATCCAGTCGAGTGGTAATCAAATGCACAGAAGCAACCGTGAGATGCGAAACTTCACAAGTGCTAGGAGAAGTCAAGCACAATAAGTTCGACTTGCTACCCATGTACAAACCCCACTTGTCTTCGTCTGCGCACGGCGCACACATGTCAATGTAAACGGATACGCAGGAGTGTCAGGAAGTGTTTCGTAACGCGAGTCAGCCTTGCAGCCTACTTGGCGTTGTTCATGCAAGCAGGGATGGAATCCTATCACCGCCCCCAATGAAGGCGCGCTAGCCACAACTGAGAAAGTTCATTGCGAACCCTTGGAAGTATGCAGGATGTGAACAAACATCCAAAAGGCTCATGTAGCCTGCCCCTATGTCTTTCGAGCAGATTTTGAAGCATCGATATTTCGATACCACACACACGCATGCTTCTCTTTTGATACCTACTCCCTGATCTCAATGGCGATTCCAATCCTATTGGAAATTCTGGCGATCCTCGATTTTCTTGTTCCAGTCCCTTCGAGTAGATCGGTGCAGGACCCAGACTATGCGGAATACAAGAAGGAAATCTTGGCACAGATTGCGGCAAGATTGGAATCCCCATTGACAACTGAGGGAATCAGAGAGCGGCTTTTGCAAGAGCTGCGAGCAAGAAGGGACTATCCCAATGATATTCTCGATTTCCTTCTCCTTCAAGGCACGAAAACGATCCAACTCGAACTTGACCGCGAGAGTAAACGGCAGATCAAAGAGCACGTGAAGACGCTCTATCTAAAAGATTCTATAGGAGGAGCGCAGCGGTCTCGACGCGCAAGATCCACCGTTCCGGATGCTGCTAAGCAACAGAAAAGAGCTTCGAGCGTTGCCACCTCTGGGTCGTTGCAGAGCTCCGAAGTCAGTGTATACTCATCAAGGATCAACGAGAGGAATGCGGTATCGAAGCCGAAGATGGCAACGAAGGTAACAATCTCCAGGCTGTGCATGCCAGGAATGCTGACCTGGACAGCGAAAACGCAAAACACAACGGGATGACGCCATGCTATCAAACAACCCTGTATCTAGTGCCAAAAACCCTTGCGCTTCCGATCGTTCTCAGGCCACCGTTCCTCCAGAGGCGATCGTAGATCTGCCAATCTCGACCTCAGATGAATCATTGTCTGGACGACGACCATCAGTCCCTGAAACTACGAAGCGAAGCAATGACTCAATCAATCCACATGCGTTGATTAATGCCATTTCCAAGAGAAAATCATCATCTACGGATATCGTCGAATCTACTCAAGCAGTCATGGCTTCTGAGCTAGCCTTCTATAAGAAGCGCTATCAAAAAGTTAAAGAGGAATGCTTCATCCTGGAAAACCAGCGGCGACAAGTCGCAGGCCTAGGGCAACTACCGGAAGACGTAACAACAGTTCTCAATCAAAACACCCGAAGAATCGCAATGCTGGAAATGAAGCTCAAAGATCGATCGATTCTGGAACGGTATCTATCATTCGGCAACACCCCGAGTGTCGTGCAAAACTCACAACGACTTGTTGGTCTATACCAAGACCTTAAAAATAGCATCGCTATGGTGCTAGTTAGGAATAGCGCCAAAGAGTATGCTACCGGGAGCCTCCTAGGTATCTCGGCCGACTTAGATAGTCTTTTGTGCAGCGTGTTTGGAATTGACACTCCTTGCAATCTCGAAGAGAAACGATGCAGCTTCCCGGCTTTAACCTCCTTCGAGCTTATACAAGCTCTGACAGGAGCTTGCATCTATAACTGGATTTTCGGGGCCGAGTTTCAAGCGCATGTGATGCGCACCACACCGCTCTTGGAAGAGTATCGCAGCCTTATCACTACCTGTAGTAAGCTCGAAACTATCCACTCCACGCAGGACAATGCTTATATCTTACAGGTAGTCGCGAGAGTCTCTGTGACTTGGACCTTGCAGTCCACAGGTCCATCTTGGAGAGTGAAAGCTTCAAGAAAGTTATCATCCCAAAGATGGCCAGAATGTTCAGAACAGAGTTGCTATCAGTCAATCAGTCAGTTGTCAGTTCATCTTTGCGGTTCAAACTGTCAGTCTGGAGGTAGTGAACTGACCTGATTGACTGCCAAGACATTTTTTAGAATCGCGAACTGAGAC